TGTTTCATTTTGTTTAATAGACTCAAAAACAACAGTAATGACTAAAGTTGAATTGGGGGCCTGCACAAATGAAACAATATCAGATATCAGTGAGTTGGACATAGTGGCACATGCCAATAATCTCAGCATTCAGGAGGATTGCTGTGAGTTTGAGGCCAGCCTGGGCTACATAGTGAGTTTAAGGCTGGCCTAAACTACATAGTGAGACCATGTCTCAAAAAAAAATTTAGGGGCTGGGGGTTTAGCTTAGCGGCAAAGTGCCTGCCTGGCAAGTGCAAGGTCGTGAGTTCGATTCCTGGTACCAGAAAAAAAAACAAAATTTAAAAATCAGTGAGATTGTATTTTTCTGGCACATATCAAGAGGTTAAAGCTGTTTTTAAATTATAAAAGTATAGGTATATAGACCTTCGTTCAAAAAATTACTAGTATAAAGGAACCAGCTGGAATGTTATCATGTTTAAATAGTAACCTCAAAACTGGGTTCAGGCTTTTCCACTGTACCATACCTCTCAAAATTTTCAGAACTACTAAGAAAGCTAAAGTAATAATGCAATCTTGAGAAATGAATCCAATATGAGAAATACTGTCTTCTTTTTTGTTGTCACATGCATGCTTTCATGGATTTACATAAGGGTTCTGCATTTTTAACAGTTGTTACTTTTATTATCTTCTTTAAAAAAAAAAATTAGCATGCCCAGAGCAATTGTGCAATCATCATTTTTGTGACAATTTAAAAGCATGACATAACCTCCAAAGAAAATTTTGGTTGTTTTGTTTTGTTTTGTTGATACTTTCATTCTAAACAAGTTATTAATAAACTCAAAACTATTAAAGCTTCAATATGACCTCATTACATCTGGTTTCCACACTTCTATAGTCCTACATGACCAATTTATTATGCACTAACAGCGTCTCCATCTTCATTAAAAATATCTCTTATCACCACACACACACCATACACACATACCCAAATGAAAAAAGCAAACACCACCAAGAATAGGCAAGAAGGGTGAGCAAATGACAACTGTGGATACATCTGACAGGACTGTCAACTGGCACTACCAGTCTGGGAATCTCTTTGCCAATATCTCTTTGTTTTATTTAAACTGAACAAAATGCATTTGCTCTAAACTAGCACTTCCATTCTTTGGTACATATGTTCACCAAAAAATGTATACAAGAATGTTTAAAACAGCATTATTCATAATAGCCTCAAATTGGGCACAGCACAAATATTCATCAACACTAAAATGGATACTGAGCTATACAGACCTATCTTCACACAGAATACAAGAATGTGAGTGAACTATCCACACCATGAACGACTCTTACAACCATGAACACTGACCAAAAAAAAAAAAAAGGCAGAAGGGAAGAGTACATACAGTATTTCAATTGTATAAAGTTCAAAAGAGACACAACTTCATAGGTATATATTTTAAAATATGTGCGGTGTATAATACGTTGATACGTAAGTAAGTCTGTTTCAAAATGGCATTGCAGGGCTGGGGATGTAGCTCGGTGGCACAAATTCCTGCCTAGCAAGTGTAAGGTCCTCAGTTCAATTCCCAGTACCAAAAAATAAATAAATAAACCAATAAAATACAATAAAATGGCATTGTGAGTCAGGATAGTGACCCTGCCTGGGAGACGGGTAGATGCTGCACGGGAACGTGAGGAGAAATCCAGAATAAAAGTAAAGTGCTTGGATCTGGGTGGTGGGTGATGTGCGTGCATTTTTCATTCAGCCATTCACTTAACAACATCTATATTTTTCTAAATATTATATTCAATCCAAAGTTTACTTCAAATCTTGTATAATTAAGACCCCTTGACCTTTGCAACATTTCTTTTCCTGCTAAGTTACCTTCTCAGGTGGCTCACTGGCCAACTGCTAATTTCCTGAATTTCATTTAAAAAATCATATATATAATGTTACATTCCAAATAATGATTGTTTTTATTCCAACATTAAACATACTCTTCTTGAAGCTAGGCGTGGTGGCACATGCCTGTAATCCCAGTACTCGGGAGG